TTTGAACTGTTGGGAAATCTCTTCAAATACAGGCTACATGATGGGATAAAGTCTTTGTGCATGTTGTGGAGATGATTGGACTGATTGGGAGTCTGACTTTGGTTGGAATGAAACTCCAGAATCATGTCGCTGTGAATATCATCTTATAGTCGCTCCAATTTCATATTTTAACTTCATTGTGAATTTTTATATGAAATGATATGAGGACTACGATGCCTTAGTTGTACATGCTCAAGACTTACAATTCATTCACTCTTAGGAAAGGTTGTACTCATAGTGAGTTCTTCTGCTAAATCTTACCAAGGGTAAGAATGAGTATAAAATAGGCTGAAATTGTTTCTAGACCTACAACCTAGAAGCCTAATGAAAGGATGAACAAAAGCTGAAATTGTTCACTGATATATGTATTTTCTGCAAAGAAAATGATGTTGGAAGAGAGGTTGTGTGTGTTTCAAGGCACAGGGTGTTGCGAACACTGCATAGAATTTGTTTGTTTAAAAAAAAGTTATACAATAACACAAAAATCTCCATTTTCTTATGGCATTGTTGAATTGGTCATATTAATGAGACATTATTATCAAGGTTAAGTAAATTAGATTACTTAACATCACATGACTTTGAGTTACATGAAATCTGTGTATTTTGTCTTAAATGAAATGATGACCAATATGTCCTTTTTTGGAAAGGGACAAAAGCCAAAGAATGTTTGAGTTGGTCTACATTGATTTATGTGGACCTTTTGAGATTTAAGTTAGAAGAGATTTTTGTACTCCATCATCTTACTAATGATTTTAAAGGTTGAGTTATGTGTGTCTTATAGAACACAAATCGAAACCTTAGAAAATTCAAGAAGTATAAGTTTGGAGTAGAGAAGCAACATGACTAAAGTATCTTTTCGATTTGATCGAGGTGAAGAATACTTGAGTATGAAGTTTCTTTATTACTTGAAATTTCATGGAGTCCAAATTGTAATGGATACCTCCTAAGACTCATTTGATGAAGTCTTCGAAAGGAGCAATCAAACCTTATTAGATATGGTTAAATCCATGTTAAGTTTCACTACTCTTCCACATATCATTGATGTTATGCCCAATTAAACTCGATTTATATTTTGAATAGAGTCCATTGAGATCAGTTGTAAAGACTTCATATGAATCATGGCATGGCAAGAGGCCTTGTCTTCAACATATGTGAACCTGGGGGTTGTCTAGCATATGTGAAGATACTTTTAACTGATAAATTGGAATCTAAAAGTGAAGAATGTTATTTTGAAGACTATCCAAAGAAACACGAGGATACTAATTCTATTTTCCTAGGGAACATAGAGTAATTGTCTTTAGAGAGACGATGTTTCTAAAAGAATATTATTTCTTCAAGGAATAAGGTCGTGTTGTGATAGAACTTGAAAAGTTCAAGAAACTCAAAATAACATTGAGGTTCGAGAATTGTCGTTTGGTATTAACAAAGATTTAGAGAGAGGCATTGGTGATTCCCTGAATAGAATTTTGTCATTTGATGGACAACTTCTAGCTAGTGGGAGTAATATGGGTGAAACTGCAGAAGTGCAGCACACTCATATACAACCAATACCTAATGGCTTGGATGTCGTTCATTCTCAATAAATACATGAAAACGTGATTTTTGAGAACCCTCTAATAGTTGAGAAATTCTGACGTACAAGAACTTCTTCATTATCAGAATGTCTAACAACAAACACAAAATATTGTACTCCGTAGGTCGAGTGAAACTCGTCGTGAACCAATTAGATTGTCTTTCCTCTTGGAGGATCACGCGATGTGGAGATTCCTAACAGGGATGAACTTAGGACCTATACTGAGTTTATGTAAGACATGAACTCAGGGAGGTGGCTTTATGCCATAAAATCATAAATGGACTCGATGTACACGAATCAAGTTTAGAACTTGGTTGACTTGTCAATTGGGATTAGACCTATTGGATGCAAATGAGTTTTCAAAAGAAAACAGATGCAAATGACAAAGTACAAACCTATAAGGCCAGATTGGTTGATAAAGGTTATAGTCAATGTGAAGGCATTAACTATGATGAGACCTTTTCACCAACTTCCAAAATTAAGTCCATTTGGATTTTACTTGCAGTAGCTGCATACTATGACTATGATATTTGATATATGGATGTTAAAATCATTTTTCTTGATGGAAAGTTGGACAGTGTGTATATGATACAACCAAAAAGGTTTTACATCCAAGTCAAATTTAAAATTAGTATGCGAGTTAAAAGGGTCCAATTGTGGACTTAAGCAAGCTTCTGGGAGTTGGAATATCTGTTTCTACAAAGTTACATAATTGTTTGCCTTTGTGAGAAGTAAGAAGGATCTATGCGTTTATAGTAAACGCAATGAGGATAATATTATTTTTATCATATATGTATGTGACATATTGATAAGGAAATGATGTTCCTCACGTGCAGTCCATGAAAGATTGATTATCAAGTGCCTTCATTGTGAAGGATTTGGGTGAAACCTACTATACTCTTGAACTTAGGATCTATCGAGATAGACCTAATAGAGTGTTAGAGTTTTCACGGTCTATGTGTGTAGTCAAGGTACTGAAGTTTTTCTCCATGGAAAATTCTAACAAAAGGGAATATTCCAATAGTCATGACGTTAAGTTGACAAAGAAAGATTGTCTTTCAGTTGATGCCAAACTTGGGCGCATGAAGAAGATCCCATATGCTTATGCAATGGAGTCTATCATGCATGTTATGACATGTACGAGGTCTATATGGACGATGCACTTAGTATCACTTACAGATTCCAATAAAATCCTAGGGAGGTGTATTGGAAGACTATTAAGACTATTATTTAGTACATTAGATGGATTAAAGAATATATTTTATTCTATGGTTGAAATAATAATTCAATCGTCTTACATTCATTTCAATGATGAGGCAGTGAATTGGAATAGTTCCAAGCAATAAACCACTGTTAATTCAACCACAAAGGCCAAGTACATTGTTGCATCAAAAGCCTATGGAGGCTGTTTGGATACATGAGTTTTTAAATGAACTAGGGGTAGTTCCAAGTGCCATTTATCTAATATCTACATATTATGATAAAACGGTGCGATTGCACGGGCAAAGGAACCAAGATCCAGCAACAAAATAAACATGTACAAAGGCACTATCATTTATTTAGAGATAATTGATAGAGGAGAAATAAGTTAGAACGTGTTCAAGCTGGGCATTACTTGAATGGTTCGTTCATCAAACCATTGTGCATAGTTGAGCACAATAGTCATTTTGAGAAAATGTGTATTAGATACATTGGTAATTGCCTCTAGTTCAAAGTGGAGATTGTTGGTATATGTATCCTAGAGATAATCTTTTTAAGGACATATATACATGATCGCATTAATAATTATATTAGATTATAATTATGGTATTGCAATTAATTAAATAATTGTTTTATTGTTTGTAATTTATTAATTAATTGCTCCCTTGAGTTGATACTGTCATTAACAGAGTGAGATGTTAATTGATAAAGTATAACTCTTAAATCGCTTAAATCGATGATCATTAAGAAAAGGATATTAGTGATACGCGATAGATTGACATGTGGTCTGCATCATATTTTTTGAGAATATAGTATGTCTCACTACTATGAGTAATTGTTATTCGTGATGGACACATGGATACTTTAGACAGTATTGGCATACCCTACTGATAAACCATTTGTTTATGTGTCTATGAGAGCATCGGTGTGTGGAATGGTATAATAGTCCTTTGACTTGATGTCAATACGCAATTCATGTATAGAGTGATTTACTTAGACCTAGTCCAAAACTTACGCCCTTATGGGTAGATACGGGCTTGTGTTGGGTTGATCACTATATACATAGAATTGGTAGTTGAGCCAAGATAGAATTCATTCCTTGAATATAGTTTCGAGAGAACACTCGTTTTTTCTATACTGAGTTGATAAAGTCATTGGCCAATGCACGTGATTATATTTGAAATGGTGTTCAAATATAATTGATAAAATCAACCAGTGAGATGAGTTAAAATGATTAAGCTGTTTGGATAGACACACGTTCAAATCCTAAGCTTAATCGAGTGGTTCGTGAATGAAGGGACCGTATCACTATTGAGTTCTACACGAAAGGTTTGTTTGCTTGTCCATGTAAACGTACTTCATATTTTGAGTTCGTCCTTCGACGCAGTCTAGGAGTTTCGTAAGGATCATAAATTAGATTTATGTCAATATATGAATGCCTATAGGGTCACATAATAAGCAATCAATTTTTCGGCTAAGAGTGAATCGAGAGTGTTAAATATTCAATTGGATTGAAATATTTATTTATGAGTAATGAAATTATTTTCTATTTGATAGAAAATATTTAATTAAATTAAATTATATTAGATTTATACTTAATTAAATTATTATTGGATTGTGTCCAATTACCTATTGGGCCATAGGATCTCCTACGGCCCATATAATTAGGTTTGACCTAATTATAATAAGATCATTATCTCATTGTAGTCTTGAACTATCATTAGATGAGAGAAGACATATCTGTGTAAAATAAAACACTCTCTAGCTTTCTGGATCGAAAATTCCTAGCTTCTTCACCGGAAGGGATTCATTGGCGTTAGATCGTGCACCCGAAAAATGGATTGCGTGGATATCATAGTCGAGGACAAAAGACGAATAACTGTAAGTTTTCGTGTATCATTCACGCGATCTAGGATCATATCGAATAGCTATAGCCGAATCTTCGTTGTTGGTAAGAAAAATTTTAAAATTCCGCTGCGCGTGCGATTGATTCGCACGTTGAAAATTCAACACAATTAACATTAATCATTGGAGACATAATTTTTTAGTTTTCATTCTCCATGCCATACATGATACAACACAAAATGAATCATTTTCCATTAGAGATGCTCTTTTCACGGCATGATTAGCTTTAGAGTTTTAAATTCAATCTTTTACCAAAGTAAAAGATCAAAACCAAATATAGCAAGAGTCAGCGTTTCTACTCTTATGCGCCTATTTGTTTCTGCACATGGCTTTCCGTCTAAACGCCCAACTTATTAATTTCAAACATTAAATTTAAACCCTAGGTTCTTTGTCTTCAAGAGTTGGGAATTGTGAGAGAGAGGAAAAGCTAACGATGGCCTTGGAGAGAGAAGGTGGGCGTGGGGCTAACCAGTTGAGGCCGATAGACTGTACCCGTAACATTCTCAGCCGCGCCCAGGGCTCTGCTAGCTGTTCTCATGGTACACAGCTCAGTTTTTCATGTTTCTCTTTACCTCCGCTTTCTCCTGTTTGAAATGGGTCTCGCCTCCGCTTTCATGTGCTATTTATATCATCCTGATGCATGTTTTACCTCTGATTTAAGCTATTATAACCTTCAATAACAAATACATTAAATGTTTATCCTTGTCTGCAACATTAGATTTATACAAATTTCGGATGTTCGATTGTTGTGCTGATTTTATTATATCGGGCATTATAATCCCAACTTAGTAGCTGGAAGGAGAAAATGTTCTGATTGTTATTTATATGTATTAAGACCATAATATCCTACTCTGTTGCTTGAGTATACTTTGAAGAAAAGGACCGTGCAGCACGAATTATAAAGGTTCTAATTTTCTTCTCAGGGGAGACAAGGGTGCTTGCTGCTGTTTATGGACCTAAAGCTGGGACAAAGAAGAACGAGAACCCGGAGAAAGCTTGCATTGAAGTCATTTGGAAGGCCAAAACTGGACAGTCTGGTGAGTTTCTGTTAACATATAATCCTAGAACTTGAAATGATTGATTGAACTTCATGTTATGCAATATTCCCATGAGGCCTGGGTATGTAGTATGTGCATTATTCTCTGTTATTTCCTGCTCTGTGAAAACCATTGCAATATGAGTTTATGTTAGTAAAGCTTTTTGTGCTACCATCTATAGTCTGGACTCTGGTATGTCTTCCCAAAAAAATAAAATTACTAGATTGGTGCACGTGATATATTTCACTCTTTTTCATCCAAAATCTTGATATGTGTGCTCCTTCATACGGCCAAGAATAATTGTATAATAATTTTCTTTATTTATTATTAATTATTAATTGCTACATGTAGGTGGTATACTTTTCATTCATGCCCCTTACCTATTTTTTAAAAAATGTGTAAATTTGCTAGGGAAACCTGAGAAGGAGCTTGAGATGGTACTGAAGAGAACATTGCAAAATATATGCCTTCTTAATGTTCATCCAAACACCACGACATCAATTATAGTTCAGGTGAGGCTGAATAAATTCGTGTTTTGATCCCCTTCTTCATGTGTCAGAGTGAATTCACTGTATGGTTGGAAACAATATTCTTGGGTAATAGTTGCTAAATGAATTCGAATAAGAACTCGGCAATTGCGAGAAATCTGTTAAAATCACAATTAATCCACTAATATATGAGATTTCTTCTGCTTGATTGATTTTGCTGTTGTGGTGTGGTGTGGCCATGTCAAATTGAAAATGTTGAACATTACGACTTTTGTGCTCTGAGTATGAACATGTCAAAACTTCTTTCCTCTGGCCATTCTTCATAAGATCCTAAAACTTTTACTTTCAGTGAGAAATTCCGTAAGATAATGTAAACCTGTTTTATCGGGTATATGATTTTTCTTTGCTGCAGGTTGTCCATGATGATGGCTCTGTATCCTTTCTAGTCACGTTTGCAACTTTCTGGTTTTACTGACATTTGAGCTTTAAGTTTCAATTTTGACCTAGCATCGTTACAAAAACTGTTACAGAGATGCTCAATGCTCGGCATTGGAAATTACCTCGTATAATTTCTTTCTTTTTTGAAAAGATTATATTGTAAACTTCTATAACCAATAGTTTTGTTAAGCTTCTGCCATGTGCTATACATGCTGCTTGTGCTGCTCTTGTAGATGCTGGAATCCCTTTGAAATACCTTGCAGGTAAAAAACGAAATATAAAACCTTTATGTTGTGGGTGTGAACTAATGTTACTATAACCTTACAACACGTGCAGTCGCCATATCCTGTTGCATAGCAGAAAATGGACAGATCATATTAGACCCTAGCAAGCTAGAAGAGCAGGTAATTTATTTTCTTACCTTTTTTTATGACTTTGTCTTCTAACAAATTATGTCATGTGAGTTCATTTTGCCTGTGCATTGTATATTTCACGTCTCATGCATTCGGTTTTGTTGTTTGTGGCATTAATCCTCTGGTGTGTAATGTGTGTGTATGTTGAGTCAGAAAATGAAGGCGTTTGTGTGCTTAGCTTTTCCTGGTTCAGCTCGATCTGTTGTACCTGAAGAGTCAGCGAATGGGATTATCACATCTGTTACGCGTGGTGTAATGGCAGGTTAAGCCTCTTACTTTTGTTGTGTTTTTCTTACTAACCTGGGATTTTATTATGTTTTTGATTATGTAAACAAAGGTATGAGGTTTTGGTGGTTGATTAGTTTCTAGATAATAACTTTCCCACTTTTTTGGGTCTTTAAGCGTTCGAGAACTCTAAGATGTTTCTTATGGTGTTTATTTATTATTTTTTCAGCACCATGTTATTGATTTTTATTTTTATTTATTATTTTTTCAGCACCATGTTATTGATTTTTATTAGGTAAAACTAATGTTGCCAATTTGTTTTTACAGTGGACGATTATTTACAGTGCATAGAACAAGGGCGAGCAGCAATTACACCGCTGTCAAATATTCTTAAGAAGAAATTGCAATCACAGGCAAGTGAGTGACATTAGATAATTTCCTACTTAAGTTCCGTAATCAAATTTTGCAATGTTAGGGTCAAAATCGTAGTTAAAGCAGAATATTTTAAGTTTCTATGTGAAAGGATGGTGGAGTTCCGGTTCAAGCATTAACTAGTTTTTCGTTAACATTTTTATGATGAAGATGCACATTGTATGGGGGTTACCGTTGTTCCCAGTTTAGTAAATTACTAAAGTTTCTAAGCTTTTTCTCCAATGAAATAGGTAGCAATTTCTGCTTTTCAGCGGAAAATTTAAGAAACATGATAGTTCATTTTAAAGGGTCACGACAGTCATTCTAATAAAGTGCATATTCAATGAGAATGAAATTAAAAGACGAATAAAATGAGTTACTAATGCAAATGTACAGTAGAATAATAACATGATGAGTTTGAATTATAAAGACGTTAGGATAGTATTCTAATGTTGACGAAGTTTGGATAGTATTTCGGTTTTTCTAATTCTTCGATTCGGTCCGACAGATGCTAGGTGAGAGTACTTACCGAACGTTTAGGTTATAGCTATCCGAAATACTTACTTTCACAGTTAATGTCGTTAAGTTAGCGAACGAGCTCATTGAATGCCTAAAAGAGAATGGGCAACTAGTAGTAACTGAGCAAATGGGTGGCTGGCTGAACTTGAATCTCACACCAGATAATTTCAGCAACCCACCTAATCCATAAATACACAACCCACACACACTCCCTTTCCCCCAAAAACATCAAAACATCAACATTCTTAGGTTGGAGCTTCGGATCAAGTTTAACTCGCTTACAACCCATCAAGCTCCAATCTTTGGATTTTGGGTCTGAACACCACAATACTATACAGATAAACCAAAATTGAAACAAGGGATTTTTTCTTGCTATACTTTATTTTCTTCTGTGTGATAAAAATCAATACCTATCAATCAAAGAGGCTTGAGAGCGAGAATTTGGAAAGGTTGCCCTCGTCAAAGGAAGCTTTGTCGGCTTGGTTTCAGATTTTTCAATTTACTGTGCAAGGTGGAAGCTCGTTTTCTTTGTTCTGTTTTTTTTTTTTTTTAAAAAAAAAATTGTTCTTTCTCAAAGGGCCCATCCCATCCAGCTTTGTTAGTGGGCTCTATGGAAGTTAGATTTGATAAATATAGTTAAAATGACAATGTCAGTCCTTTTTGGCTAACCCAGCCCAACCCAAACAATAAAAGATATGGATTCGAGTTTCTTATTTATTTTATAAGCCCGGCACATGCTATTGACACCTATAAATGTACATAATAATAACATGTATATTACACATATGAATTGTATATGTTTAGTTTATTTAACGTATATATTATTATACATAATGTTTACACATACGAAATTGTATATGTTTAGTTTATATAACGTATATATTATCATTCACTGAAATTAGTTGCGTGCTTTTAAGAATGAGGACGGAGAAATCTGCGGAGGAGGATGGAGCTTCTAATGAAGCTAAAAGAAAGAAGAGAGAGAAGGAGAAGAAGAGAGAAGCGAAGAGAGAAAAGAAGGAGAAGAGAAGAAGGAGAGAGAAAAGGGAGAAGTCGTGGTGCGACCGATTAAGAAAAAAAAAATACAGACAGATGGAGAGAGAGGAAGGAGAAAAAGAGAGGGGGAAGAGAGAGAAAGATTGTGATAAAGACGAATCGTTATTTGACTTTTGATAAGGATTAAATCTCAAAACATCTGCCCACTATCCATAAAAAAATCAACTTACCTGTATTAAAATTTAATCAATTTTCATAAATTTGCAATTAAAAAATTTGTCTCGTAACTATACAATTAAAAGAAGATTATGTCGTGGCTTAGGTAATTATCTCCTAATAATTGGTCCTTGGGCTTCATAACTCCAATTAGGCCCAATACGTCTTATAGGTTGTTTCATTAATCCACTTCCCATTGTAATAGAACAGTAATTCGCTGCTCATATTTTTCTGAACAAAATAACATCATATGTTGAAAATCATAAAATTTAAATTCATATACATTTTTACATAACAAGTAATTTAGAAGATTAGTATGTATTTCCTCTTCTGGTAACTTTGTCCGTCTCCCTTTCTTCTCTTCTTCTTTCTTTTTTTGTTGACGTTTTTGCAGTAAAACTACCTAGTTGAATTGTTTTTTATTTCTTTTTTCCATTTTTATTAAATGAAATGTTATGTTTGTAAGTGTTTTTGTTATTTTTGGAATTCTTCATTTGCTATGTCGTTTGTGTAATGTTTTATTATTAGGATGACAGTTATAAAATTTCGCGGAAATATAAAATTTACATAACTGTAGGTGTCACATTTAAAAAATATAAACACTTAATGCAATATTACATTACCACACAACCATATTTACTTAGCTAGCATACCATTATCATGCGTTTTAACATTATTTAACAATAACAATATAGTAAATAATTTGACCAGTAAAACTAAATTAGAAAAAAATAAGTTTATTAATAATTATTCTTAATTTTGAAAAGTTCGACTATAATTGTGGCTCCGATTATTGCAAAATATGTTTATTTTGGCTTGAAGTCTAATTTTTAAAATTTTATATTAAATAATCAATATTTTTTTGGCAGAAAATCATAGTATTATTTATAGTGAATACAAAGTTTTATACATATATATACACACACTTACACTATTCCCTATTGTTTTAATCCAAATTTTAAAACCAAAAGGTTAAAAAGAAATTAAAAACTTATTGAGCATTTTCCTAAAACAAATGAAGATTCTTTTACCTAGGAAAATAAAGAACACTAATTAATGAGACGGTCTGGCCGTTACATGGTTGACCGTCATAATTTTTTTATAAATACATATTTATACTATAAAATGTTGTAAGTTTATTGATGTTGTTTTTGGCAATGACATTTAGTTCTATATATAAAGTTATGACCGACAAAATAATAGTTCTTTTTAACCGCAGTCTTACTGAATAAATAATGGAACAATTTCTTCTTTTTGGTTGTTGACTTTTTTTTTGTCAATGAGAAGGTAAAAAATAAGAGCGTGAAGTTATATACGCATGCAAGAACCCTAAGTCAAAACATTTGAATACCCATGTAAGGTAAATCATTATAATGCTTGAAAAGTCTCCAACTTTTAGTCTAAAGGAATAATTGAATTACAATGTATTCAAATATCCTGAAATTTTTACACGGTTCATAATTTTATAATGAAAAAGGAGAAAACAGAATTATTGAAAGATCACATTAAATCATAAAACACAGAATAAAGATTGAAAAAATTGTGAAAAAAATAGCACATATGCTATTAATTTTCCATGTAGGGGTTTCGTTGTCAAATTATGTCCATTTATGTCATGGAATGGAATGGAACAACACACACTTCGATAATGTGATTTATGTATAGTTCTCTTGATGGTGACTTCTCATCAACTCACTCCGAAGTTACATTTGTGCCCTTAAACAATAAATGAATAGTTTGGTCTTAATTTCTTTTACATTTTTTCCAATAATAATAATAACAAAATCCAACTTTTATTTACATTATTAATTGTTGGGGATGGTTGAACAAGAACTAACCATGATGTTACGTTGTAATTGTTTGGGAAAAAACCACTCGATGACTGATAAATTAATTGATAATTTATAAGGGAATTTTGAGGTGATATCAATAATCGATAGTTGAAAATTTGACTGATATAATAAACGTATTTGACAAAATTAGCTAATAAGTTATTTGAAATAGATTTCAACAGGATTTTTAAAAACTTATCTTGACAAACTTATTTTTAAGTTTAAGGTTTTTTAAAAAACTCATCATACCAAACTAAAGTTTTTTGAGTGCAAGAAGTTTATTATCTACCTAAATATATTATAAGTTATTAGATTATGGTGTTTAACAAACATATATTTTTTTATATGCTCGTCTCTCAATATATTATTTTGGATGGAATCATATCTTGTAAATCATATCAACCAAGTAAATTGTTAAAAAAAAAAAAAAATACATTTAGTTAGGAGCAACATAGCATGCAAAAATTCTATTAAATAAATAATTCGTACTTAACTAAATCTCTATCAAAATTCAACTTACTCCACTTTTGTAAATAACAGGATTGTAATTTACAGTGGGAAGAAATATGGAAAAAAGGATAGAAAAAGTCCCATCCGATGTTATGGTTCATATGCACTTGTTTCAGTTTTCCTAGGCAACAATTTAAATTTTAATGACAAGTCAATATTTTTTTTTTGGTCCAGTTAATGACAAGTCATTTGATTAGTTGGTTAAGGTGTCTCATAATTGAGGTTTGACGTTCTCGTTGACTTATAATTAGGCTAAAAAAATAATCTCTCTTGTAGTCTGTTACCTAATTTTCCAACTAAAGTTACTAGTTATTTTCAGGCTTACAATTAATTTTAAAGTCTTCTCGCAATTTTGAGCATTTTGCATTCTTACTTACTAGTATGTGGCCCGTGCGATGCACGAGTAAATAATATTAAATAATAATTATAAATTGAAGATATAGGTAAACAATATGTATTCGTTTAAGATTTTGAGTGCCACTTTGAGATTTTTTAAGATTTGAGACTTTTAAGATGGTCAAATTTTAGAAGAATACTATGAAATCTTAAGTGTGAATGTGAGATTTTTAGAGTGAAATTTTGTATAATGTTTTTTTTCTTTTATATCATAACTAATCTTAAAATAACCTAACAAATCTTGATCTCAAATAAGTTAAATATTTAAGGAAATTTTAAGATTTTTTTAATTTTTAAATATCAAAGATGAACCGCTTTTATTTTCAAAAATGTGGACACAATTTTGAATGTACATCCCGTCCAAATATCAGTTTTATTCTAAAATAGAAATTGCACGTGGTTTTATCCAATTTATACACTTTTTTTTTAAAGAAAAAATTATTCAATAAGATTGGAAGAATTGGTTAACAATTATACAACTATTTGTTTCCAATATTTGTATCCAATTTATATGGTTTTTAAGTTAATTTGTATTTAGAATTGTTTTCATAAATAATTGACACATTTTTTGCATAAGAATCTACAAATTTGTTACCAAAAAATATATGATTTAAATTTTGGTAAAAAAAATAAAATATCATACGAAAAAAATGGGATTCAAATTTTGCCATAAGAATCTGCATATTAGTTACCAAAAAAATAGGATTCAGATTTTGTTATTAAAAATTCACATGTATTTTTTTTAACTTTCCATTAATAGTAAGTCAAACATTATATTTATTTGATCAAACTTTCTATTAATATATTTTTCCAACAACCTTTTTATATAAATATAGATATAGATTTTAAACTATAACTATTGTAAAATTGGCCCAAAACAAACTCTGGCATCACGAATAAGTAAGAGAAAAATATATTTTATGAGAATTCTTAAATAAAATGGTGGGTACTAAGTTATAATGTAAAAGGTCAAATTAATTTATTTTTCTTTACAATGCTTTATGCTCTAATCGAACTTCATGTTTGTAAAGTGGCTTCAAAGTTGTATTGTAATAATTCATGTGGTTGAGTTATTTTAATAAGTTATTGATGAAGGAGAACATTAAGTACTCTTCATTGAAGAAAAGTTTGTCTTATGAGTAATATAAATGGCACACTGGAAGACATACTTAAAAAACATCACTGCTAAAGGAAAGAAACATTTTATATATATTATCTTTTATCGTCTACGAGATTAAGAAAATTAAGAGTCCTTGTAACTGAACTTATAATCTATACTTATATTAAAAGCTATACTATTTACTAAATGTAGTATGTAGAATAGTCAACCTTAATTAATGATTTGCTATTTTTATCAATTATTTAATTAATGCATCTAATATTTTTGGTATGCAAATCAAATTAACATTTAATTAATTCTTAAAATATTGGATATGCAATATTAATTTAGGAATATCCATGTAATTCCTAAAATGTTGGTATGCAATACGTAAAAGAAGATTTTTTAATTTTTTTAAATATAAAATATTGCAACACGTAAAACTATTCCAGTTATTTTTTTATTTTATTTTACATATAAAATTTAATCAATATTTAATGTATCCTACAAAATTAGATTTAGTTTAATTCTCCATACAATTAGTTGTAACTTTTTCAGTTGTACATTTATTTATTTATTTATTTTACACTTTTAAATTAATGAAGCTCTCCGAACATTATTAGGTAGTTTCAAACATTATTTGTGAATAATATAGAATATTTTAGATGCTTTTATAGATGTTATAAAATATTTTAAGTATTTTTAATATTTATATATCACACTTAAAAAGAATATTTTGCAAAAAAAAACATTAAATACACATTGTAAATGTTAATAAAAACAGTCTTCAGTATTCATCTTTGATTTTGTCAAAACAAATCTCATAAAATCGGTGAAGTCAAAATTTGTACGTAAAGTCTATCTATACTGAAAAAAGGTAGATTCAAAATTCTTTATCTAATTTCTTCTTTTCCTTATGTAATTCCTTCTTATTATCTAATTGTATAGAAATCTGTTCTGATTTTGTTCAATCCTCTAATTGTATTTGTATCATATCACATAAAATCGGTTTAACAAAAAATATCCCATAACATCCGATAAGTAAAAAAAAGTACGTAAAATCTTTACTAACATAAAAAAGGCTTTATTTATTATTTAATTTATTATC